TGACCCCCTGAGTCAGACCATCCAGCCAGGCCTGGGGGGCGCTCTGTGCACCCCTGCTCCACCCCCCAGAGGCCTTTCTCCATTTCTCCATTCCTTTATGCCGGCCACTACCCAAAGGCTGCTAGGAGAGCACTGGCCCGGCAGCAGAGCCACCCCCTCCCCCAGCACCCCACCCGCTGCCATGCCCTCAGCCACCCCAGGGGGCACCTGGAGTCTTTACTGCCTCCATGCCTCTGCCCAGGCCCTTCCTCCACCCGGACAGCCTCCCTCCCAAATCCCCCACCCCCAACTGTCACTTCCTACTCTGCAAGGCTCAGCCAAGAGTCACTGCTCCAGGAAAATCATTCTCTGCCCCAATGTGGGCTCATATCCTCTTTGATCTCCAGCCCCTGGCCACCCCCCCTCCCCCTCATAACATGTATGACACCCCAGTGCAGTTTCCAGTTTGCCCATCTCTTTCCGTACCAGCCCATGAGCTCTTCAAGGGCAGGGCCTGGCCAGGCCACCTCCCTGGTACCCGAGCCCCCAGCACGAGGCCAGGCTGAGGGTCATGGACACACTGACTGAGCGCCTGGTCTGTGCCAGACGGCCCCCTCACTCCATTCTCTCCAGGCCTCTGGGGGGGGGGTTGGTAGAATCATCACCCCCATTTAAAAAATATATATTTTATTGATTTTTTTACAGAGAGGAAAGGAGAGAGATAGAGAGCTAGAAACGTCCATGAGAGAGAAACATCGACCAGCTGCCTCTTGCACACCCCCCACCGGGGATGTGCCCGCAACCAAGGTACATGCCCCTGACCGGAATCGAACCTGGGACCTTTCAGTCCGCAGGCCGACGCTCTACCACTGAGCCATTTTGCAGATGGACAAACAGAGGCGCACAGAGGGGAAGTGACTTGCCCCAGGCTACACACTGAGGGAAAGGCAGCCTCGAGACTCGAACCGGGAGAGTCTGATTCTCGAGCCCCAGCGAGAATCTCGCCACTCTGCTCCTTCGTAAGCTTCTGTGGAATTCATGAATAAAGGAGCGCCTTCGCCTCTCCGGGGCCTTCTCAATCCTGCCCGCGGCGGGGAGGGCCGTGGTCTCTGGTTCTCTGTCCCTGGGGGGAGCTAAGGCGGGCTGTCCGGGACCTGCCGGGAGGGGTCGCCCCAGGGGATGCAGAGAGGAGCCTCCTGGGCCTTCGGGATGAAGGTGCTGGCCCTCCCCGAGCTGTGGACGGGCCCTCGGGCGCCCGAAGGCCGGTGCCTACATTGTCAGGTGGGGAAACCAAGGCCCGAAGGGAGGAGGGGACGTGCCCATAGAGAGCCACAGTGAGGCTGAGCCACAGCCCCGAGTTCTCAGCTGCCCCATCTGCCAAAGAGAAGATGGGTCCCGCCTGCGCCTCCTGGGAGCGGCCTGGGGGCAGAGATGGGAGGAGGAGGAGGCGCTGGGGGCCCAGCGGCTCCCCGGCCACCCTGCTCTCCCCGGCCTTCCATCGCAGGGCTGCAATTCTGCCATTTGTCTGCCCACGCGTGGGATTAAACTAGGGGTGTCGAACTCAATCAGAGAAGGGGCCAAAATCTAAAATCCAGCCTAAATCTCGGGCCGAATGGTTTACTGAACAGTCATAAACTGTCATTGTGATGGAAATGCAGCGGAGTGCAGTGATGACAGCGCGGTGCGGGCCACATTGCAAGGCCTGGCGGGACGGATTTGGCCCGCGGGCCTTGTGTTTGACACATTTGGGTTAAACCTTGCCCTCTGCTATCTCCTCCTCGCCCTCCGCTGCAGGGAGGAATCCACGCCTCTCCACCTCTTCCCAAACCCCCCTCCAGGGCGGCGAGCCGAGGGGAGCTCTGGTCCCTGACCCCAAACGAATGCTCCCTGCTCTCCCGAGTTAGACAAGCCGGGATGTTACTCACAAGGAGTCAGACTCGGCAGGGGACCAGGGGCAGGCCTCACTGCTTCTGAGATGTGTGCAGGGCGGCGGCCCCAGGAGCTGCCGTCCGAGGGGCCGGGCAGAGGAGGCGCCAAGACCCCTGGTCACTAGTTGGGTGTGAAGGCAGGGGGATGGGTACGACGCTAGAGCTCACCCCCAGGGCAAACAAAGTGCAGTCACCTCCCTTTGGTCTGTGGGGACACAGGGGGCAGGAGCCTGGCGATGGTGCTGGCGCCTAGGCTGGCAGGGGTGGGGGATGGGGGGTTGGGGGAATAAAGACAGGGAAGGCCACACAGGGCTGGCATCAAATCCAGCTCACAGCTCTCCTTTTACCGACGAAAGAATGGCAGCCCAGAGAGGTCGAGTGACTCAGACGGAGTCACACAGCACATGGGTGGCAGAGGCAGGCAGGTCCAGGGCTCCTGGTCGGTGGTATCCAAACCGACCCAGGCTGTGCGTCAGATCAGCTTGGCGGTGGCGCGGGTGGGAGAGGGGGGGTGGTGGTTCAAAACCACCCACGCCAACTCAGTAGATTCTGATCTCACAGCCAGAGGTGGGAGGTGGGGATCCAGGAGGTGGAAAGGTCCCTGGGGGACCCCCCCAGACCCACGGGCTCCATCCCTGCCTGCTGAGGGCCTGCAGTTTCTGCTCCCTCAGAACTCAGGGGGCCTGGGGACTTGGAGAGGAAACACACAGACTTCTTTCCTCTCACTGACCTCTCCCTGAGATGTACCGTGTTTCCCCGAAATGAGACACCCTCCGAAAATAAGACCTAGCGCGTGGAAAGAGAAGACATCCCCTGGAAATAAGACCTAGCGCAACTTTGGGAGAAAAAAAAAATTAATATAAGACACTGTCTTACTTTCGGGGAAACGGGGTAACGTCTTTCCCCACAGGGCCTTGGTCTCCGTGGAGAGCACCGAGCTTCTGCAGCCTCACGGGTTGTCACAGGTGACCTCGCTCACTCTCCACGCTCCTCACCCCCGCCGCCGGGTCGCGGCCGCCGGGGGAGGTCTGTGAGATCCCTCCGCTCCCCGTGTCACTCAAGCGTCACGTGCCCACGACCTCGCAAGCTTGCTTTCTTTCACACTCTGCTAGCTCCCTTCCCAAAGGTTGGGTTTCCTCTGAGATCCTATGCAGGTTGTTCTATGCATTTAAAAATGCAATTCCGAGGAGCCCGCAGACTCCCCGAGGCTCCGGAGAGAGGCCCGTGGGCGGGAACTGGTTAAGGACCCTGCGTGGGGCAGCGGGGAGCCGGGCTCGGCGGGAGCCAGAGCTCAGGTCTCCGTGGGGACCGAGAGCAGCGGCAGCCCGGGGTCCCGGAGGCAGACCCCCGACGTGAGCTGTGAGCGGGACCTGGACAGAGCCGCCCGGTGGATCGCGGGGAGAGCCCGAGACCCCAGACCCAGGCTTAGAAAACACGGCCGTGTCCCTGGGACCAGGGACCAGCCTGCTCTGCCGGGGCCGCCGGCCTCTGGCACACACTGGGCACCGCCCGCCGGCTCCCCCCGGCCCTCCCCCTGCATGCCCTCCCCCTCCTCCCTCTCCCACCTCCGGGGCCCCACGGCGTCAGGAGCCCATCCTAGGTGGGTCAGCCCTGTCCTCCCGGCTCCCGGGCTGCTTTCTTTTAGACTCTACATTTCTTCATCTCGCCCGTGGAGGGGGAAGTAAACACAGATTACAAAGACCCAGCAAATGGTTCTTATAAACTCTTATTTTCTTGCCACAGAACTGCCTTTAATTAGCTCCCAGGACTACAAAGGGAACAGCGTTATAATGGGAGCAGCTTAAAGGAAAGAGCCCACGGCGCTTGGCTTCTGGACGGGCTGCTGCTGTGCGCAGCCACCAGCAGGTTGGGTGGGAGTCCCCCGCTGCAGGGACGGCAGCACCCCCCCCCCCCATTCCCCACTCAGCACAGCCTGCCTCAGCTTCTCACCAGGCAAGCCCTCTGGACAGTAACCACCCGAGTGGGCCTCGGTCCCTGCCCAGGGCCAGCCGCTGGCAGCGGGCAGAAGGGCAGACGAACAGACAGGCTGACTTTACCACCTCGGCCGGGTAACAGCAACACAGCCCCCCAAACCCTGGGAGTGGAGCAGTGCCCAGCCCGGAGGCACTGCCTTCAGACACAGCCCATGCCTGGCCTCAGACCTTCAGCATATCACCGCGCCCAGAGGGGCCTCTGTTTTTGGCACAGAGAGGTTAAGTAACTTGACTAAGGACACTCAGCAACTGAGTCAGGACCCAAGCTCAGGGAATCTTGACCCCCTCATCTCAGGGGCCTCACGTCCCTCTGGGCTCCTGCTTGGGGGAGGCAGGTGGGGGCTGTCTGAGGTCACAGCCCATCAACCCCACAGACCAGAAAGCATCAGAGAAAAGCTCCCCTGAGTTCCAGCCTCAACCAGAGGTTCTCCATTGCGGGGTCCTGGACCCCTCTCCCTGTGGAAGGACTCAGCCCAGACATCAGGGCCTCTCTGGGAATGAATGGAGGCATACGCCGTCCAGAAACACTTTCCCGTCCTCTGCCACCACGCTCGCACGCCGCCCCGAGGCCGGCGCCCCCCGCGCGAGGCCGTTTCGGTGCCATCCAGGGCGACGCGGTTCCCAGCCAGGGCCTCCCGCCCCTCCCGCGGCTCCCTCGCCCCAGGGACCCTCCGGAGGACGGGGGAGAAGTCCTCAGGACGGTCTCAGGCAGGGGCAGCCTGGCTGCCGCCTGCCCCCGGCTCTCAGAAGCTGGCCTGCGTGAGCCCAGGCGGGGATCCACGCTCTCCGGACGGCCCGAGGCGGGAGCTGCCGGACTCAGGAGCCCCATGAGGGAGGCAGGAAGCCACGGACCACAGGGGCACCCCCCAAACCCTCCACCCAAGAGCCCTCCCCCACCACCAGCCGTCCCCACCGGCTCCCGTCCGCTCCAGGAGCCCACCCACCCCTCTCCCCACCCCGGGTTTAGGCAGCGGCTTCAGGGGGCCAGGCTGTGCCCCGAAAGACAGCGGGGATCGCCGGTGGAGGGAGGCGACCCGGGGCCTGGCCACAGCTCCCACCCGCCAGAGCCAGCCCAGCGCCCCGGGCAGCAGTTACTCACCGCGGATGAAGGTCGGTGTGTAGGTCGGGAAGGAATCGAAGATGCTGTTTGATGCCATGCCCCGCGCTGAGGAAGGCGAGACCTCGGCCCTTCGGGGGGGGGGGGGGGGGGGATTGATTTGGTTGGCTGTTGTTTTATTTTTTCCCAGCCACTTTTCAAAATAAAATAAAGGGGTGGTGGTGGTGGTGGTGGTGGAGTTGCTTTTAGGGTTTTTTGTTTTGTTTTGTTTTGTTTCGTCTCCCCCACCACCCCCCCAGCCCCCCTACGGGGACAAAAAAGAAGAAAGGAAAGAACGCGAGAGCGTGTGTGAGCGAGAGAGATGGAGGGGAAAAAAAATCCCCAAGGAAAGTAAGTTTCTGTTTGTACCCAAGAATTTGGATTCTCGGTCCCACAGGAATGTCTAGCCACAAATTTTCAACAGAAGCGCATGCAGAGTGTATCATTAGATGGCGGGAAGGGGCCCGGGGCGGCCAGGGCGGAAGAGCCGGCCGGGCAGCAGGAGGAGAGCGCAGGCTCCAGCGCCAGCCTCGGGGAATGAATGAAGGAGGCTCGGCCCCCGGCGGGGCCCAGGCTCCAGTGGGTGCGAGGGTGGCCCGGGGGTGGGGAGGCCCGGGAGCCAACCAGCTCCCGCCGAGGGCCCCGGAGGCGGCCGAGGGCCTGGCCTTGTGGTTCTGTGGTTGAGGGACCAGGCCTTCGCCGTGTCAACCCAACCTCAGCTCACAGGATGCAAGAAGCCGGCTCGCGGTCCCGGCCCATTGGCTGGGCGGCGGTCACCTGGGCCCTGATGTCACGGCCCCTTAGAGGATCCTGTGGCTGCCTTTCTCTCTTTTGGGGAAAAGAAAAAAAAAAAAAGAAAAAAGAAAGAAAAAGAGAGAAGTGATGGGTTTTATGTGGGGCTGGCCTCAGCACGCGGCCCAGAGACAGAACTGAGAGCGGTCGGCGTGGGGGCGGCGGGCGGTGGTCTGGATCCTGTGGGAGACTCCTTTTAATGAAGGCCAGCGATGGCCTGGGCCCATCGGGGGGCAGAGGGCTGCCCTCCCTTCCCCCCCTCCCGCCGCAGCCGCGTCCTGGCTGCAGCCGGCACCACCACTGTCCACCACCACCGCTGCCCGAGAGGCGCCACATGTGTGCTGGGTGGCACTTCGGGGGTTTACGGGAGTTGGGATTAAGTACAAATGGGAAACACATGAGCGGCATCTCCAGCGCTCACGCCTCCCGCGGCCTGCACACCGAGCAGGGGCTTCCTGGGAGCCGGCAGCAGGGGCCTCGGGCCTCCGGGGAGCCGGGTCCTGGGCCCTTCACCTCTCAGAGGGTTGGAGGCCCAGAGGGACTCAAAAATAGGCAAGACGTGGAGGATGATTCAACCCTGCACGCTGATGTTCCCAGAACGTTGGTCAGGCTTTGGGGGCGGGGAGGGGGGGGGGTTGTGGCTTATACTATTTCTCTTGCAAGCAGCTCTATCCTCCCATTTCACAGGCCAGACCACTGAGGCCCGGGACGTTGAAGCCAGCTTGTCCAAGGCCGCAGGACTCTGAGTGGGACCAGAACACCAGCCTCTGAAGCGCCAGCCCCGGCCTCAGGCAGGACCTCAGCACCCTCAGTGTCCTCTAAGCTACGTCCTGAGCCTTCACAAACCCCCAGGGCCTCCCCAGGGAGCCCACAGGAGGGGCGAGGCCCCAGCACCAGCCTCAGGCCCATGGCGGTCTCCTAAGGCTCATGGAGCAGGAGGAGGGGCTGGTCTGAGGTCCCGCAGACACCGGGCTCTGCTCACAGCCGCACGGAGCCCCCGGGAGCAGGGCCACCCGAGTCCCATGCTGAGCTCCACGAAGGCCGGGTCTTCGGACCCCGAATGGCGAGAGGGTGGTGATGGGGTCCTCACTTGTCCAGGGAGGAAGCAGGTTCATGGCGACAACCATGGGGTCCTGGGGCCACATTGGTGGGCTCCAGGCCCAGCTCTGCTGACTCCCAGCTGCGGGACCGCGGGGCAAGCCACTTCCTCTCTCGGCGGCTTCCTTCCCGGTGAAACGGGCATCACACGTTTCTCGGAGGGACGGGCAGCGGGCTGAGGACACCGTCCGCGTCAGTGTCCTCGCCCGGGTCCCAGTGACGTCGTCCGGGCCCCGTTATGAGTCAGCGCAGGTGAGGAGCCATGGCGGCCGCAGGAGGACAGGCTGTTCCATGCAAGCTCGCCAGCTGGCCCGGCCCGGGCAGAGCGGGGGGCTCAGTCGCACTGACGGTCAGGAGCCGGAACCTGCCCAGGGGCCTCGCCTCCTGGCCAAATGTGCAGCTTGGAGCCTGCCACGTTGTGGACTAGACCAGAGGCCCCGTGCCTGGGAAGACCCCCTTTAGCAGAAGCAGAAATTGAGGCCCCTGGAGGGGCAGAGACTCGCCCCAGTCGCAATGAGTCAGTGGAACCTCCTTCCCCGCCATGGCCCCCCTGCTCGCCGCCCCCCGCCCCCCGCTTCCCGGCCCAGGAGTTCTTTCCACTTCACCGACGCCACCTCCAGTTTCTAACACACCACCCTACGCACTCGGCTGGTTTTTCCACGCGTAAGAGTGGGCCCCCATAACACCTATCGCTTGGTTACCCCGAGGGACTCTCCCTGCCTGGGAAACGGAGTCCAGGCCTGGGAGCAGGAGGGGCCGGGGCGCGTCAGCCCAGGGGGCGCTGAGGGCGTTCCCGGGGCGAGGGAGCCAGCACGGACTGGTGGCCAGGGTCCATCCTTCCCTCAAGAGGCTCCTGATCTCCTCTTGACCCCTCACAAGCGTGTGCCAGACTTTGAACTAACTCCTGCAGCCTGCCTGGGAAGCAGAAAGAACATTCCGGAAGCCTGGCTTTGGTACCTATGAGTTAGATGGTGAGCAAGAGGTTTTCTTCTTCTGAAGCTGCTCCTGGCAGAGCCTGTGACGGGGCAGTCGCAGGACCCACCTCCCGATATTGTCCGGAGGACTCAGTGAGGACATGCCCTGCGTGTGCCTGGCGCCTGGGGGTGCCCGGTTCCCGGGGGTCCCTTTCCCTCACCTTCTGACGGTGGCAGCCGGTGGACAGGCGGGTTCCCCCGGGTTCTCCATTGGAAAGAATTACCTGACACCACGGAAACAACTGAGCCAACCAAATCAGGCTAATCCCCAAGTCTGGTTGAATAAGAGAATCACACACACACACACACACACAAAATAGTACTTGTGTTCCTTAAACTTTTAATTTTAACTTTAATTTATAAATGTGCCACTCATGGCCTTCCTCCTGTCCGTCTGCCTTCAGTCAACTCTGACGGCATCTCCTACAGCTTCCGGTGTGGCCTCCTCCCTGTGGATCACGAACACGAAGACGCCTGTGAAGCCATCAGCATCCGGTAGCACCTGGAGGTGGCTGTCCCCCCATCGTTACAAAGACCCGCCCAGACTTCGTTCAATTCATTTTCTCTTTTTTAAAAAAATATATTTTTTATTGATTTTTTACAGAGAGGAAGGAGGAGGGATAGAGAGTTAGAAACATCCATGAGAGAGAAACATCGACCAGCTGCCTCCTGCACACCCTCCTACTGGGGATGTGCCTGCAACCAAGGCACATGCCCTTGACTGGAATCGAACCCGGGACCTTTCAGTCCCCAAGCCAACGCTCTATCCATTGAGCCAAACTGGTTTCAGCCATTTTTTCTTTAAAAAAAAAAATTTTTTTTTTATTGATTTTTTACAGAGAGGAAGGGGGAGAGATAGAGAGCTAGAAACATTGATGAGAGAGAAACATCGACCAGCTGCCTCCTGCACACCCTTCTACTGGGGATGTGCCTGCAACCAGGGCACATGCCCTTGACGGGAATTGAACCTGGGACCTTCCAGTCCACAGGCCGACGCTCTATCCACTGAGCCAAACCGGTTAGGGCTAATTTTTTTCTTAGTGACTTGCCTTTACTGAGTCTTTCCAATGTATGCCACCTAGTTTCCATGGAAACAGACACTCTGGTTTGGTTTTGTCTTATCGATACACAGGAAACGGGAAGCCACACCGAGTATTGGAAACGGAGGAGGTCAAATCAGGGGCTATAGGCAGCCGGAGCGATGGGAGAGCTCTTCCCCGAGATGAGGCGCCTCAGAGTCGCTGCCCCCCGTTGGCGGGAGCGATACGAGGAGGGGGTGCTGCCAGGGACCCCAGAGTTGGAGGGATGTGGGGGGAGAGTCTAGCATCTGCTGGGGCCACAGAGGAGACCCCGCCACTCCCGAGGGGCCCCCGGGACAAGGAGCAAAGGGGCACCTCTCTTCCTCCCGCCCGCCAGGCCCTCCCAGCGCCTCCCGTCGGTCAAACGGAGCGGGAACCAGCTGACTGTGTGAAATCAGACCCCGGAATTATGGAGCGGAGTCGGGGGTGGGGTAGCGTGGATCTGAGGGCGAGCTGGCCTCGGACTGGCACACTATCCAAGGGAGTTCTGTAACCATGAAAACCAAATGGGCATGCACAGGCTTGGAAGCAAACCCAACTGGTGTCTGACGAGCTGACCGCTGAGCGGGCTGGTGGGAGCAGAAGGTACGGGACCCCTGAGGGGCCTGCCGGGCTCCAGAAGAGACCTGCTCCAGGCCACCCAGTGTGCCTCCCTCTGCCTGCTTTCTGGCTCCCCTCCCCTCCCCACGCCCAGCCTCTCTCTTTCCTGTTGTTTATACTCTGAGAACCGCTCAGGTGCCCCCTTCAGAAGCAAACCCCACCCTCTCCCGCTCCACCTTCCTGCCCCAGCCCCTTCTCCGGGACCCTCGCTGCTGGCCTCGCTGCCACCCCAGGGGAGCTGCCTCCACGCACACCGCGGTGGCACTGAGAATAACCCGAGGACGGTTTTACCACTGAACCTGCCTCACCAGGGACCCCAGTGGCTCCATTCATGGCCTCTCCTCTGGCCTGAAATCCCACCGTTAGTCACCTTTGGGTTTGGATGCATAAATCCCAATATGGGTTTAGCCATAAGTCTTCTCTTAAAAAGACAAGGGAGCAATGGAGTCGTTGAGGGGGGGTTAATCAACGCGGGAGAAGAGCACAGGCCGGGATCCCCTCTCCTCCCCGCCCCAGGTCCCCCTCAAAGGGCATGCTGCCTCTCTCTCTGCAGACTGTCCCCAACTCTTTTTAAAAATATATATTTTATTGTTTGTTTGTTTTTTTACAGGGAAGAAGGGAGAGGGATAGAGAGTTAGAAACATCAATGAGAGAGAAACATCG